TTCTTAGATTACAGAATATAAATATGAGTGTAAGAGAATAGAACTCATAGCTCACGAAATTTGATTCTCCTTTGTAATAACAATGTGGTAATGGAAAAAAACGGAATAATTTCAATTAAATACAGTTGTAGTAGAAGAAAGATATGGTCGCAATACTACTCATGTTGAATGTGTGTAGTAGTCGCATCTACTTCTAAGCAGAAATAACATTCCATCATTTTGTATATTACCCGAAATAAGATCAAATTGAAGTTTAAATTAAAAATGTAGATCTCTATTACTCAAGAAAACTTTCTCTTCATAGCCACATTCAATGGAAGTGATAATATATGTTCTCTACTTGATTATTAATTAGATTTAAACCGCTTTGGAACTCTCCCTTATTGTTCTAGCTTATACTTTATATTTATTTCACCAACTATTTTATTTTAATATTTTAACAAGGAAAATATATTAGGGAAGATTTTTTTGAAAAATCTCTGACCGCCCTTTTTAGTTCAGGTTTTTACAAACCAATTGCAATTACATTATCTCTATCTTTTAATAGCAAAAATCTATTAAAAGATAAATTGTTTTCAAATTTTTTTTAATTTCTTAAATTTAATATTATAACTTTTTTTTTATTTTCTTAATTTTAATTTTATTCCCTTTTTAGAGAATCTTTTTTTTAATATCTCAATTTTAATTTAATTCCATCAGGTATTTTCTGCTGCTTCAAAAGCGTAAATTGGAGATATTCATTACATTCCAAATGAAAATATTCTTTCATTATATTAGATCTACGTATTTCAAAAATTTATTTTTTAATAAAATCCATTTAAATACCAACAAATATATTTCTGTTAAATTCTATGAATTTGTCAGAATTTTCAAATAAGACAAATTATTTTGTATGAAGTCGGAAACAGTCCACGACGACAAGTTCTCGTGGAAAAGTCTACGCCTCTGCATCCTTGCCAGACTATGGTACTTTACTTTTTGTTATTATACCATTTTATTATTATAATTTTTTTCCCAACTTTGTGCTTTGCTTATAAGTTTATATATATGTATGCATTCACTCATGAATATATAGTCTGTATATCCTTTTGATCTTTTTCAAACGAGCTTCAAACCTGCTCCTGCTCAACTCCTGCCGCTGCTGTCTGAATTATTTTAACGTGTGGTTGATTTTTTAAACCTGCAATGTACACGGTATAAACTTCTAATACTCGTATCAAATATTACACACACACACGTAATACACACACCGATTATTGCACATATCCAGATAAAAATGCCTATGATATGCTTACCTATGCCTCATCCCCCATCATCCATTCCCCAGCACAACTACGTGTATATTTGTAACAGTTTTCATCCGACTTTCTGTTGAAAAATGTTCGGTATAAATTTTTACGGTTTAGGCCTGTTGCAGTACTTGACAAGCAAAAAAAGAAACTCTGTGCTATTTTTTTTGCTATTTTTACCTTAGATTGGAACTTTCAAGTATCTTTGTTGTTGTTGGCGTTGTTAGTGTTGTTGCTGTTTTTAGATTTCTAGTTGCTACTCCTGTCATAGTAAAAATATTTAATTTTAAACCACTCATGAATTATGCGCTTCGTATGTTGACCCAGTATGTGTCATATGTCACATGCATAAATCTTCATGGCAACCATGCAGCCGCTTAATTAAGGCTTAGCCAGGAGACAGGAAGGAAGCGAATGTGCGGCGACTCTTTCTAATTTTCTGTCATCTATTTTTGTGCCATTTTGTTTATAATCAACTTTTTGAAAAATGCTTCAGTGAAGCTTGTTTAGTAAAGTTTACTCGAAACACAGTCCTCTAATTCAATATACATAGTAACATACTCATAGGTTAACTGTTTTTATTTTTGAAATTGATTAAAATATTTTAAAAACCTATTACGCACAAGTCACATGTTTAAATTTAGAGTAACCTCTTATGTAAAGCTTCCTGATCACAAAAAGGAAGACTGCTCTACTAACAATAAGATTTGAATAACACCAAGGAAGAAGACTGAATTGCTCTTTAGAAGAGCTAAATAAAACCAAAAAAAAAACTGCTCTACCACCAACACAACCTAAGGAATACCAAAAAAGAAGACTTTTCTTCTACTAATAGGAACCCAATGATACCAAAAAGGAAGACTCCTACTCTACCAATAGGGACTAAATAACATAATGGTCAAACCGACCATTATCGGTCGGTTTATGTTGGCATTTTTATGTTGGGTCTTTTGATATCCGATCTGTATTTTTCAGTGTCTGCTCTATTTATTTGTCAAGTTTCTGCTTCTCTTTTGAAGGTCTCATTTTTTCACGTATGACTCTATGCTCCTTTCAACTTTATTTTCACTAGTATATATTTTGTATAGTGAGAATAATTGAAACTTTTTTTTGGAAGAGGTAACAGACAATAAAAACTTATAAAAGCTTACAATAAACTATAAAGAAAGGCTTTGAATACAGTATTGGATGAGGTTCTTGAGCTGAGGCTCTTAGCTGACTTAAAGTTATTATTCTGTATATATTATTATTCTTTATATCAAATACAAATGAAAAGTAACTGTCGTTTTTATTAAATCTAATAATCATCAAATCTTTATAAGTCCATTGAATACACACTCAACTTTAAATCATCAAATCTAATAATCTTCAAAATTTTGATAAGTCCATTGAGTATATTCTCAACTTCGAGCTATCAAATCTAATAATCTTCAAAATCTTGATAAGTCCATTGAGTATCCGTTTATTGTATTAAGTAAATCCTTCCGCTGTAATTTCTTCATTATGCTGTAAGATATAATCTTTTAGCATAAAAACTTAAATCATTTCGTACTTTTAATTTCTTCCTTTTAAATTTAGGAAGTGTTAGGATATTCCAGTACATTTAAGTTCCTTATCCTTTTCATACCTCTGAGCTCGCTCACGTTTATTACACATTTTAAAGTTTCTTGTGGAATATTTCTGTTTCTGTGGGATTCCCTTCTGTGCACAACTGCTGCAATGCGACATTTTTGCTTATATATTTGGTACAACTTTTTTTATACTCGTATTATTTTATTCTTGATACGTTTTGCAGTTCTACATCGTTGAGTAATTCGCATAAAACTACGAACCCAAAGTTGAGGCAAATCAACACATGGCGTTCGTTATGTCGAATCGAGATGAAGCAGCATAAAAAATAATAAACCAAAAAATAAAGACAAGATATGCGCCAGGATACTGAAGCGTAGTGGCAGCGCAATCAAGACACAATGTTACTTCCAAATTATACGAACAACAGCAGCAGCAGCAACAACGGCAACGGCAACGGCATCAGGAAGAGAATCGAACATCAGCATCCAAATCCTCGTACCAGCGCTGCATAAGTTTATAGCTACCCAAACTGCTGCGTAGCTCGACTGTTTCCTGTTGAATCATTCAAGCAGTCAGCATCAGGTTGTGTACTGTTGCATTACGTTGCGGCCTTGTTTGTTATTCCAGTCGTATCTTTGTTGCCCCATAAACGTTCAACAAATTGTTATACTACTGCTGATCTGTCTTCTCTAGTCAGAGTGTGTTGAGTTTGCAGTTGTATATTTGTATCTATATGTACGTCAATGTATAGTAATGGCTCTGTTTATCTTCCTTGACTGCTTCCTTCATGTGTATGTCTCCAGTTGTGGCCTGCTCGTTTACTCGTTTCGTCTCGTTTCGTTTGGAGTGTGGCTTTGCATTCGTTACTGCTCCGTTGGCGAGCACATATTTGCACATCTCAATAATTTGCGAAAACCCCGGAAAACCTGTAGCATTTTGCTAATCATTCCTGCTGCCCACACCCGCTTCAAGCTACAGCAATGCCTATTTCATTTGACTTATTTACATGATTCTGCCCCCAGACTTCCTTCATGAGAATTCGTTTGTTTGTGGCGGTCCTCTTGTTGCTCTGTCGTTTGGTATTTGGTATTCATGCAACACGTATCTTAGATACGAGATAGAAGAAACTTTTGTGGCAGTTAACGCGAAAACTAACATTCTATTTGCGTTGTTTGTGTATCAACATTTCAATCCGTCACCACTTCAGCATTTTAGTGCCGATACACTCACTACAATTCGCTTTGCAAAAACAGTTTCTATGGGCTTTCAAAAGTTCTGCATATAGCACGGCATAATAACTCAAACTCTGGCAATGTCTCATTGCATCCTTTTGAAATTTGTCTGTTGCCTTTATGCAAAAAAGCACTGCTCGACTTGGTGGTGTAATGTGAGTACAAGCCTTCGTCTGTCGTGCAGGAGTAGGCATTCATGTTAAGGCTACTGTGGCCGCGCTGTGGTAGCAATATCATGTATTTTCCATAAAGCAGTGATGCTATATGAAAGATTGATACTTACCATAGTCAGTGCTGTTAACAGACGTAAATACTGAACGATGCTTAAGCAATATTCAACCATGTTCATTGACTGCAGCGAAGGAAGCTGCGGAATGGTAAACTGACGTTGTTAACGTATTTATTTTTGTATCTTTGTAGGCAAGTGTTTGAGTGGTAACAGTGTATTCGCCGCTTCAGCCCTCTTTAGCCGACACTGTGTGTTGTGTACTGTCTGCTGTACATACATTCACTCTTCCACTGCCACTTTAATATGACAACCTCAACATTTGCTCTGCAAACTCGCTACATAATAGTAATGTGCCTACAATGAGTTAAAACCTCGTCCTAGTCAACGGCTGCCATTTGCTGTGCTGAAAATGTTTCACTCACGGCTTGTTAAAATCCTGAGCTGAATTTTGTTGAATTTGTTGGATTTCGTTGGCTTTGTGCCAGCTTTCAACAACTTTTGCAAAAACTGCAGTATTGATTTCACAAATTCGCTTTATGTGCACTTTATTATATGTAGTTTTTTGGCTTAGATTATTCTACCTCCCTATTCACACACTAGATCAACCCATCACATATTATTTAAATAGCAGTAAAGCAACACTTTAATGTATTTCACCAATGATTATTTTCTTTTTAGGCTATGGTCATGACGTTTCGCCTATGCACTTCACTGCGTACCTGCCCAGAATGGAAAGCGAAGTAACCGTAATTACCAGCACATCCGCCAGTGCGCCGCCACAAATTCTAACACATCCGCATCAGTATTCTTACCAGACGCCGCCACCATCGGCAACATCCTCACCTTCAGCTTCACCAGCGAGCCGCTCCAGTCATTCGTGCGACCGTCTTAGTCCGCCCATGATACGCATCAAAACTGAAGCCAATGCCGACGATGCCCTACAACAGCTTAGCCCTGAGTCGAGCACACAGCGCAAGTCTTTAGCCATGTGCTATACAAGCACAGGCGCAGCACTATCGCTGCCTCCTAAGAAGAAGGACATATATCGACCCTATTCGTTAGACGATAGACCAAGCACAGAACGTTTACGCACATATGAAGGTTTACGCATACCAGCAGAAGAAGATTTACATGCCGCACACGCTATACTTGACCTGAGCGCTTCAACCGCATTCCATCCGCCTACGCAGCCACATCAGCTACAACAACAACAACATCATCAGTTACACCATCCAATGCAACATATAACACATGCCATCCAACATCAAACACATGATAACAGTTTTCAGCACAGTGCGCCATCTATAGCTGATTTAGCTGCTGCAGCCAGTGCTGCTAACGAACATCGTCCGAAAAGTACAGCTTCTTTGCACAGCCAACAAAATGCAAGCATCTTAGAACGTCAAAGGCAAGCCAGTCCTACTGCCGGAAGTGTACAAAATGAGAACAGCAATACCACTAATCAGCTGCGCTCTAATATACCAGGTGGTGTACCTTTATCGAATGCTGGTTCCAATGCAAATGGCACTAAAACCGTTGCCTACACCTATGAGGCTTTCTTTGTTAGCGATGGTCGTTCAAAACGCAAGAATGTAGCAGATCCCGCTACTGTGGTACAACAAGATCAACAAAAAGCTAAATATACGTGCACTGAATGCGGCAAGCAGTATGCTACATCCAGTAATTTATCACGACACAAGCAGACCCATCGATCACTTGATTCGCAGTCTGCTAAAAAGTGTCATACTTGCGGTAAGGCATACGTGTCCATGCCCGCTCTCGCTATGCATGTCCTGACACACAAACTATCACACAGTTGTGGTGTCTGCGGTAAGCTCTTCTCGCGTCCTTGGTTGCTGCAAGGTCATTTGCGCTCTCACACCGGTGAAAAGCCTTATGGATGTGCACACTGTGGCAAGGCATTTGCTGATCGCTCCAACCTCCGCGCACACATGCAAACACACTCCATTGATAAAAATTTCGAATGCAAACGTTGCCACAAGACCTTCGCACTCAAATCGTATCTGAACAAACATTTGGAATCGGCTTGTCTGAAGGATGAGGCCGACATGCAGTTCGACAGCACCAGTGATAGCAGTGATATGCTGTCTCCAATACCGAGTGACGAATATCAACGTCTCTATGCTGCATCACCTTCACCTGTAACTAACAAAAAGGCTGGTTCATTAACAACAGCACAGGCCGTAGTCAAGATGGAGGCAACCTATGCTGGTTAAAAAGCAACAGAGCTGCATTTGCCACAAACGAGTAACGAGTAACTAACTTTACTTTGCAAGTTAATTAATAGTAAGTAAACTATAAAAAAAAAATTGATATGTAAATATGTGTTACGGTTTTGTTGCCACTACCAGTGAAGATCAAGCGCACAGACCATGGCTGTTATCTGCGAATATAATTTCGCCATTAGACGCTGAAAGCCAATGAGTCTGGGTATATGTGCAATGACAATACTTCTCATTTTGTGGATCCAAGCCACAAATTTTGCATATATGCACGCAATGCAGTTTTAAGTTATTTATAAGTTATTTTATAGTATTTTATAGTATGAAAATACATATATATGTATATACATTGTGAGCAACATATAGTAAAAGCTCTTTGTAGTTTAAATGTAATTTTATACATACATTTTGGTACACTCAACATCACAATACGTCCATTCGGTTTATTATTCTATAATAGAAAGCAACTCTGCTGCTTTTGAACCTATCGAACCCAG